GCCTAGACAAAATCAAAACGAATGTCAAGGAGACAATGCTTCCTTTATGGAAAAGAGAATAAAGGGGAAAAAAGAGATAAGTACTTGAATTGAAGGGAGGCAGAGATTATAAAGTAAGAAAGGCAGCACATGCGATGAACTAAAATAAAAAAATAATATAGATAATATAAAATAAAATAAAATAAAATAAAATACTAATAAAACTAAAATAAAACTAAAAAGCTCATCGTTTTGAGTGTGCTGCAGGTGTAGTTTTTGCCTCGTGCGTCAGAGACCCTGGATCTAGAGGCAGTCTTAGGGTGGAGAGGGATTGGCGGTCCATGCTGATTTCGTATCTTACCTTGTAAAGTATTCATATCCAGCTATTTAGTTACTTAGCTACTTAGCTATTTAGCTATATAGCATATTCGGCACATTCAGCGTATTCATATTCAGCATCTCATGTTCAGGTGTGGGGAGCATATGCATGTACCTTTCTTGTTTTGTTTTGTTGCTTTCTTGAAACTAACTCGTTTAGTGATTTTACAAGAAAAAAATATACATAAGATCATAGTAGGCAACCGTTTAGGTTAGTTGCATATAGAGATACTTGATAGTCAGGTCTTTCTAAGCAATGCAACCCTACGAAAGGTACTTTGTTCCCAGGTACCATTCTTTTCTGTTTAGCTGCGAAAAGGCAAGGAGAACATATCTGACACCCTTGGCCAACCTTTGAAGACGACTCTAGACTAAAATATCTCTATAAATTCCAATCTTCTATAGCTGATAAAAAAAAGGTGATTTGTGGAACTCCGACATTCCACAAAAACGGAGTCGAGGACTCAGAGATTCAAAAGTACATTACTTTTTTGGATCTCGGAGAAGGATTAACGGATTAATTAGCATGCATATTACATTCTGCAATGCCTTTTGAAAAATACGGATAATCCTAGTGGCGATCGCTAAACCCGTGTACAGCTTCAATGTGGGGCGGGATTTTATACAACAAAAGGAAAAGAGATGGAAGAGAAAAAAAAAAAAGTAGGCAAAGACAGATCGCCTGATTGCGCGTTTAATGCCGAAGGGCAACCAGCTGCCTCGGTGGCGTGAAGGTAAATATCCCGGTCACGAGTATACAGAAAGTGACTATGAAAATGAACCTGGACCGTGCTTAATAATATGATCACTATATAAAACAATATATGCATATCTAATATCCCACATAGTGTATAAACATATATATATATATATACTTATGTAGCATATGCTCAATTCAGAAAGAAAATCGGTGTTAGTACCGGTCAATACCTTCCACAACCGCTTCGCGTCAGTGTTTGGCGTCTAAAAGGGTGTTCCAGCCTTAGCAGAATGGGGGCACGGCCGGAGAGGATGGGATTAATGCATCTGCAGAAGGCCTAATATGGATATCTCTTGGTCGTGATCGTCCAAACTCGCAATCTGGTACTTTTGGGGGAAATGGCTAAGACCTCTTCTCTCTTCACGGGGTTCTACAAGTGGCAATTTATGGGGTTCGTTTCTTTTCTTTTCTTTTCTTATCTGCAACAGTTCCATCTGGGTTCTTTGCATATGCAGCTATATTCCCGTACCTTGTATATTTAGCACCGTTTTTTTTTCTCCCTCGCACCTATTTCTCCGGCCGAGCCGAAAAGGACTCTCTTAAAAAGTACAAAATAGCCACGGTGTCCGGCCGCGCCCAGATCACGTCTTGAGTGAAACAGACGCGTATCTCGGCTGCACGGACTCCCAGTATTGAACCCGCTCTCCACCGGCCGGGAATGGCCGGATTTCTATTTCACTTTCAATGGTATGATTTGTGAAAAGAGAAGAAGGGAGGGGGCTGTTGTGGGGTGGTTTTTTTTTTTACGCATAGACCCGAGGTCACTCCGGGATATCAAATGGGGGCCAAACGGGATCCTCGTCTGTCACGGGAAAAAGGGGCGATGACATGCAGTCGATCAGACAAATTTCCCCATTCAAAAGAGATTAGTACGAGAAGTTAACTACTACCGTATTTCGTAGTATCATTCAGAAATTTAGATCGGCTGTGGGGGGCATATTTGTAACTTTTTCAGTGGGTCTTTTGGAATATACTGGGCTGGTGTCCAGAGAAAAATATATATCTAAAACAGGATTCAATGTAAACCTAAGCATTTCGACGTATGTTATACCCAGAAAGTAATATATAGAGGCATACTCCGTAGTTTCCGTGTAAATAGTATCTTAAGAGTATAATTGGTCAAAAGGTGGAAAACATCCGTGCCATTCTAGCCGCTCTCCTGTGGGTTAGTTGCAGGAATATGGGCTTGGTGGCTTTTTTGCTTCGGGATTATCACCGACTTCGGTTCTCCACTGACTTTTTATCCCGGGGTATTTTACATACGTATGTTTATGTAGGAGAACATATGACCGGCTTCTCCGTTTAGAGCCTATATATACATATATAATCCATCTATAATGTATATCTCTAACTTTGGCTGTCCAAAAGGGTGAACTCTCAGACCTCTCACTGCGGCTCTTTCATACCAATCGCGAATTATAGATCCAGACTGTTTATATGCAGATACGAACACTTAGATGAATAGACGCATGGTCGCTTACGAACATGACCATCTAGAAGAGCACCGAGCGCAGGCTTATCTCTTTATTGCTGTCAGTGCGCATTCTTTTTCCTTAGAAAGTACGGAGTACCGAGGCCAGTGAAGTCTATAATAACATTCATTCCGATCAGCCTCACTTGTACGTACTCGGCTCACTTATCCTTATTTCCGTTATACGCTAGAGTATATGTAGATATCAAACCCCGATCTTAAATCCCCGAACCCAATTCCTTCCTCGTATCGAAACGCCCAAATCTACATCAATATGCAAAAGGACAAAGATCGCAATGCACTCGGCACATCCTGACGTCAAATAAGACGATTGCCTGCCGTTCATGCAGCTAGGATAGACCGGGGACCATACGGAATAGCGGCAGAGATGCACCTGCTCATCAGACGTCGCAAGGACCGTCGTCGTAGCGGAAATGCACCTCGTGCATCCCCCCGGCCACTAATGCGATGCAGTTACCAGGAATATTGCGGACAAAAATGATAATTAAAGATAATACAATTCCCTTTTCAGAACATGTGTGCAGAATCTCATTTACGCCATGCAGGGTATGTAGCCTCGGCGTTGGCCGTTGAAATAGGCTGTGCAAATTAGTTGCACTTAGAGATTCTAGTTGCTCTTTTCTTGGTTTTATATGTTTCTTCTTTATATGTATCTTTGCTCTGGGCCCAGATTAAGGATATAAAGCTAATGTAGATTGTGTATCAAGCTAGACAAGCTAAATGAGCATATCAAAGCTATGGCTATAAAGTTATAAAGTCATACAGCCATACAGCCCTACGGCCATAAAGCGAGAAAGCAAAAATAAAATAAAAAAAAAAAGGTCAGCCCTATGACCTGTGGCCCTCCTTACTTGGCAGATCGAAACATATCACACGTTTCACTCCGGCTTCCATAGCCAGCCTGCAGGCTCAAAACAAGACTCGAAATCGACGCCACCGAACAGCCCAATCGCCCCATAGAGGTCATAGTCCCCTTCCAAGCCCTCAACACCCCCAGAATCCGCATCGACCTCCTCATGCAGATCCCATCCCCCAGATCGACATCCATTCCGCGTGAAGAAGATATGCACCTTGCATCTCTGATTCTTATTTTCCCCACTGCAGATATTATCTGGCAGCTCAAATTCCATCCCCAATCCAACCGTCTCACCCACCTTGAACGCCGTCGTAAAATCCCGGCCGCCAAACGAATCATTCACAAACCGACACCCATCATCCGAAAACACCCCCAATCCGCCCCTCTCCCAGCCAGGAGATCTCCACGCCGGATAAGGTTGCGCAGCAAACCCAATCGAAACCCCACTACAGTCCTGCGGGGTTGGTCCTGCCCTCAGTGCCAACAACTTAACCTCGAAGTAGATAGTCTTCTTCTGCTCACGCACAAACGGCGAGTCCGCAGCAGGGAAGTACATGGGCAGCTGGGTAAGAATGACACAATCCCCATTCCCATCGACGCTGTGTCCGCGCCAGCGACCACGTGCAACCGCCGAGACATGGCCACGCAGCTCGGCTGGCTGCACAGGTCGAAAGTCATGGGCCTGCACGTCATTGTAGACTGCAGGTGAGGGCTGAGTCGGGAGCCAGAGCGGAACGGATTCGCAGAAATCGTGGGCGCGCTGGGCGTCATCTTCGGAGGCGTTCCCTGCACCTGAGATTAGGTAGCCGGCGATGGGGGGTGGTGGGAACGTGGCTGTGTCTGGAACTGCTTCTTGCCAGTTGTGATATGGCGGTGGATTGCCTGAGGCTGTCTGTGGCTGGGTACCCCAGGATTGTTGCGATGCATCATAACTTGGCGGTAAGTCGTTAGACATGTTGTTCTTGTATTACAGTAACAATTTAAGGGTTGGAGTGATTTTGAAGCGGAGATGTAAAGGTGAGATGCCAAGCGAGGGGCGACTTGGGATCCTTTGGGCTCAGGACGCTTCTCTCATTCTGACAGTTTCACAATTCATAAGAGTTTGGAATTGGACTAGCCACTTTTCTTGTCGATTTGAGTGAACACATTGATTATTATCATGTTAAAACAGTGTACAGATTTGTATATATAAAGTACATAGCAATCTATAAATCGAGACTTGAAAAAAAAAAGGCACTAAGAATAGCTGGGAGGTTTCAGCTGCAGCCAATACCAGCACAATTAGCACATTCGGAATTTCTTCGATTCTCGACTGATGAACGCCTTTTTCTTTTTCTTCTCTTTCTCTTTCTGTGTATTTTCTTTTGGCCTTTGGCCTTTGTCTCTCTTTTTTTCTTCTTAACTTACGACTTACGATTCATGCACATCCCAAGCCTCACGTATCACGATCCCTCGATCCCATCCCTCGATCTCTGGACTTTTTTTTTTTACTCGGTTCAATGTCATTCGCTTTTCTTCGCTAAATCAAAATTCCAATGGAGGCCTTTTCCGCCGATCAGCCCCGCAGGGCCCGTCGATCATCCATCTCGGACCACATCCACCGCGTCTTTAGCAAATCTATGGATGTAAGTTAACAGCCATAAAAAATGGAGGAATCTCATTTGACCCCTTGAAGAAACGGCACAGTCAAACCGAGTTTATTCCCCCAGTTCCATTTCTCGCCCGTGAAGCTCTTGCGCAGGAGGCAGCCGACAGTAATTCCCATGCGAGGCACTCCTCGTACGATGAGACCGGGCCCAGCTCGCGCTCTTACTCCTCCAACTCTCGTTTGCCCTCCACCGGTACACCTGGCTTGAGTCTATCAGTCGCAAACGGGACCTCTATGGAGGATGATACTCCAACACAACAAATGACGCCCTTGTCTAGCCATCCCAACGGAGATGAAGACAAGATCTACAAATCTCCCACATGGGACAAAGCCAAGAAGAAAGAAAAGCGTGTCACACGGCGCCTGGAAGCCGAGAGAAAAGAACTCGAGAAACGGTTGCTAGCACTTGAGGATGCATCCATGGCCGACCTCAGGATCTATGAACGATCCTCTCGCCGCCTGACCAAGAAACAACCAGTGGGCAGCTCGAGCAGAAGCTCCAGTGCGAATGCAGAGCGTCCGAGATCGTCAAGTGGCTTTTCCTCGATATTCCGGCGATCACGCCGGAATTCAAATTCGAGCGATGTAGACTTTCCGTCTGCCGAGTTCAGCCAGCTTAGGACAGATACAAACCCACCCTCTCTACCTTTGACTCTACCGGAAAGGTTTGGTACAGCCATCACCCGAGAGCTACAGTCCACGCATAGCACCGCACTGAATCTATCCGTTTCGGACAAAATGCCCAACGCAACCCAGCACAGCCGTTCACTGCATGCCTCCGCAAAGTCTGACGATCTTCGTGAGAACTGGAGGATGGCGGAAGCCTGGAAGACAAAGGACGGACAGTCTAATCGGTCAGTGTCGGAGCAGATTCCCAAAGGTAGTCGGTTCATTGTTGGCAATGCTGCTCGGAACCGCCAGACACTAGCATCCTCGGACGATCTGGATAGGGAGCTGTTTTCCGCAGTCCTGAAGCATGACAGGAAGAGTGTGCCTGCGACAGAAGATCCTCTTGATCGTGTGGCACGCCATGATCGTTCCATTAGACCTACTAGCATGCCAACGCCGCAAAGTTTGAGCCAGCCTAACTTCCATCCACCCCCTGATTCGCCTACTCAAGTGACCACGGCTCGTCAGTTGCAGGAGATGACACCTCCAGGAACCCCAGATACTCCGGGAAATGCATCAAGTCCATCCAGTGTCAGGTCTTATCTACCACCCAACCCAGCACCAACAAGCTCCACTGCGAACCTTGCCAGGAAGAATCGAGTGGATCCCTTCCCGCGAGCATACAAGTCGTCCCCCCTGGCGCTGAATCCCGCGAATACGGATGAATCGACCCAGAATGATTCCATGGTTCCAAAATCACCGACAGCACAACACCTTGACCATGCAAGCCCACCTCAGCTATCACACTCCCCCACTCAGCCTCTTCCCGAGGATCGAGGTAGAAGCCGATTGCCTATCGCTTCGTCACATACCACCAAGCGAACTGCAAGCCGTTTCAAGGAAAACTTCCAAGAATCTCCACAGTCAGTCGAACTCCCACAGATTCCTGTGAGGAGCGAAAGACGGAGTCAAGAGAATTGGAGAATGCCAACTGCATCAACCAATACGCTCGGAGATATCCCGACATCTTCTTTCCAGGTAGCCGTCAGATCTCCATTCCATACAGGGAGTGTTTCACCCGGCGAGAGAAACAGCCGAACATGCAAGGACCTATCGGATGGCACTTACGCTGTTCCTGCGAGATCTCCCCGCCGAGCTTCTCGCACTTCTACCGAACTCCCGGCAAATATCCTTGCTGTCGGAGGACCCAGAGGGCTCAAACCAGGACATAGCCGTACTTCTTCACACGCCTCCTCCCACGACGGTCATTCAAATTATGACACTGCCGATGAAGATACCCCCGAGTCCCCTGGAGTCAAATGCAACTCTCTGACTCGCGTGGATACCAGTCCCTCGACCTCTGCTGGTGAAGCACCGGTCGTAGCGGATGCTCCCGTTAGTCCACTCGTTCAACCCACTATTCAGCCTGGCCTGAAGCCTAACTCCCAGCCTCGCATTCAACCCGTCACCCAACCCAGCCCCCAGGCTGTCTTGCATTCTAGATCTCATCACGACACTTATCGCGGCATACAGTATGGCCCTCAGCCTGGAACTCAGCCTGATACTCATCCCGGCATGCAACCCAGCCCCCAACCGGGTACTCAACCCGAGAGCCCGCAAACCCGGCAAGGCCCCATGAGCATCCTCAAAAGAAGATCCCAAAAAGCGAAGGCAGCCCGCAACCCACAAACCATCGCCAAGGTCTTCGTAATCTGCTGTCGCTGCAAGTACTGGCACGACCTACCCTCCGAGGTCTACGCGCGTCTCGCCTACCCCGAGCGTCTAGACCCAGATTTCAAGCTGGGTAGATCCCTCTCCAAGAAACAACCCGACAGCGGTACCCGCAAGTTGACAGGATCACGATCACTGCCATTCGGTAAATTCCCAGCTCCCCAGCCTGATCTACGACCCGCGCCTCTTCTGCCTCGCAAGGTGACCTGCTGCTGGTGTGGACACAATATGAGCCGTTCTTGTTGTGAGGGTTGGACTACTGTTGTTGAGATGCGTGAGCGTCACCATTGAAAAGACTTACCTATGATATGAACGATTACGATGATGTTATGATTTTCTTCCTTTTCTCGGTTCCGTATTTCGCGTTTGGGATTTCTGTAAATGCCTATGCATATCTATCCACATCTACGTCCTTGATGGTTACGATCTTTCGGCTATCTCACAGATAGTATCCCACTGACTAACTGAATGTATATAAATACATGCTTTAAGTACGGTGTCTTTGATTGTAAATGTATTCAGCGACTACCTAGGTGACTAGACAATGAAAGGATGTGATGAAACACTCCCCCTGTATTCCATGAGACTCGTCATCCACAAGAAAGGTTTGATTTGGGTGTGGAGCTGCGAAAACCTCAACAATTTGGTAGAGTTGATATCTTTGTGATGCATAGGTGAGGCATGTGGGCCACGGAGAGATGGTGAGAGGACTGGGAAGAAGAGGAGAGGAGGAACGGGTGTCCGATTATACCCTCAACCCACGTGCCTTCCCAAGCCATGCACCTTCCCCCAATCTCCCATTTTCCTTCTACCTTTTGCCTTCTTGCTCATTGTCCCCACAAATGCCTTGGAAGATAGGCTGCCATATCTTTTGATGTCCATCCTATAACTCGAATCCATCTTGGAAGATAGCTAGTAAAACACAAAGACTCCATACCCATTGATATACACGCTTTGTCAGAATACTCTTTCTCCCACGTATTTAACGAGAACCGGCTCAAGGACATTTTTCCTGTCCAGGACACAAAGTTCTTCGCATTAGGTCTCGAGAAACGTGCATACATTCATTTCACCGTATAGTGAGGCCTCCATATTCGTCCAGAGTAGGCTAAGCATCAGAGTTCGACCTTGACTTCTGCTTAGGAACAGACACCGGTCTTTATATCTGCTTGATACCGCAGCTTAGGGACCTCTCATTGGTTTTCAGAAAGTGTGATCTTGCGTAAACTAATAATAGCTCTGTCCTTTTCAGTGACACTTGGAACATTTCTGTGGCATATACCAGTGAGCTTTTTGAGATCTGCCATTTTACTCAGACATACTCGAAGTGGCAGAAACTGGGCGGTATATTGCTGAGTCATCACCCTTTATTTTCCTTTTTTTTTCTCTCTTTCGCCAACTTCCTAGAGACATTCTTCTGAGTATCTCTGGACATCGAACCATTTATCGGAATTTAATGTTATTCCGATTGATAGAGTCTATCAATACCTCTAAACTAACCCAATCCCAGATATATATCAAACACCAGACATATTCTGTCCGCAACTCTTCAATCCAGCTGTCCCAGTCCATATGGACATGCTCAAGGGCTCTCCTTCGGGAGAACAGTCACCACAGCGCTACGTCTTGTGGCCGTGACCGACTGGAGCTGGATTGCGAGCTGGGTACCTTCGGGTGCTCACGCTCATTTTTGAAACACAAAGGTTGCCAGAGCAAAAAAGGGCCTTCATAGTTCATGTTATACTTGCTCGAGTCTATTCCTTCGGGGATTTTACTTTGTCTACGAGAGCATGACTCCTTGCGCATCTACATTCATCAGTTTAATATGGAATCGAATCTATTGCTTTCCCACGTATCTTATCTTTTTCTCTCGAGACTACAGCTTGCTCTTCGCATCACCAACAATATTCACAACAACCTTCCCCCAAGTCTCCCTTCCACCCAACGCTTGCAAAGCCCTGGGCACACTCTCCAATCCAACAAAACTCTCATCCTTGAACGCCGTACCCTTGAACTTCCCCTGCTTAACAAGGTCAAAGATCCCTTGCCAAACCTCACCAACGGTCTCCGTCTCAAACTTGGCATACTGCCCCCAATGCAAGCCAACGATACTCACATTCTTCAACAGCACCCGATTAAGCGCCACCTTCTCAATCTTCCCCGCTGCAAACCCAATAACCAACAAGCGCGCATTCCAGGCCACACACTTCAAACTCGCCTCGATCATCCCAACAGGGTCATAAACAATATCCACTCCAGCAGCCCCGTTGCCCTGCCTGTTCTTCTTACAGATCCCCTTGACAACCTCCGGCCACGCCTTATCCGTATAATCAACCACATAATCCGCCCCGAAAATCTTAGCAATCTCCCTCTTCCTCTCAGTTCCCGCAGTAGCAATAACAGTCGCCCCCATCGCCTTGGCAACCTGCACAGCAGCAAGTCCGACGCCGCCCGCAGCAGCATGAACAAGAACCCAGTCCCCGGCCTTCACGCCAGCGCGCTGCACAAGACCGCCATACGAGGTCGGTGCCGTGACGAATAGCCCTGCCGCATCCTCGAAGCTCCACCCCTCCGGCACGGGGAGGAGGGTTTGCTCTGCGGCTAGGACATGTGTTGCGTAGGCGCCTTGTGTGGCGCCGAAGACGCGGTCGCCGAGTTTATAACGGTTGTTTGAGGAGGTCGGGACGGAGATGATTGTTCCCGCGAATTCGGCGCCACCAATCCAGGGAAGCGGTGGTTGGTGTTGGTATTTGCCTTGAATTTGGAGGATGTCGAAGAAGTTTGTGCCGGCAGAGTGGATTTCGATTAGGTATTTGTCTGCAGTTGGCGTTGGCGTTGGGACTGTGGTTACTTTGAGGTCTAGAGGGCCCTGTAAGAGTGGTTAGTCTTTGGGGTTGAGGTTCGGGGTTGGGTTGTAGGTACTTTGACATATTCGCTGACTTGGACGGCACGCATTTTGGCGGTGGGGATGTAGATTGGGATTGAGGTGACAGATTCTGGAATTTTGAGTGAAGAGTGAAAACGAAGAGATAGAAGTGCTCAAGGGATGTCCAAATAAAAAGAGCTCCGAAGGGACTGGGATATGGGGGTTTCCCCGCAAGATGCCGAGGTTCCTTTTCGGGTAACTGACGCGGCTTGGCATTTATAGAATACTGTGGTTATTTGTCCATTTGATACAGAGTATCTAGAGTATAGATGTGAAGATGCATCGAGCTCAATTAATCAATAGGTATCAATATATACAGTTTCCTTTTCCAAACTCCCCGAAACCAAAACATATCACTGGGTATGGCAAAAAAAAAAAAAACAACCAGAAAACAAACAAACATAACAATCCACCCATACTTCACACGGAAAAGGTATCAAATATCAAGGTATCACAGGGATTTGACAGAAACAAGAACGCCAGTGCACGTTGACTAGTAATCAATGCCCGGAGGCTTCTGCACATAATGGTCATGGCCCACATAAGGCATGATCGGAGCACACATCACGGAATGAGGCCCACTGGGCTGAGTATGAGACGGCGAGGCCATAGTATCCGCCTGGCCATGAGGCTGGGTATGCGGGATCATATGCTTCCTATCGTGCTCGGGCCGGGTAGCCAGGTGACCGGCCATGTCATACTGTAACGACATAGCCCGCTTCCAGTTCTTGGCATCATAGCCATGCAGGTACTCTGGTGTCTCGCTGTGGTAGTGATGGTACTGGGGGTGATATAGTTGGGCTTGGGGGCAGTAGCCGTTGATTAAAGGTGCCATGGGTGCAGCCGTGGACTGGGGGACCGAGGCTGGGGGGGTGATGGCTTCAAAGGGCAGCGAGTACCACTGAGATGGGTTGAGGCCGTAGTCTACGGAGACGGCGCGGGGTGGCCAGCCAAGGCCACCAGGTGTCGTTGCTGTGCCGGGGCTTGGGAGGCACGACTCTGGGGAGAGCGGGTAGGCTGGGTAGGATGGGGTCAGGGCCGAGGTTGTGTTCAGCATGAGACCCTCGCCGACTGGCGAAGTGTGGGGGTGGTCGAAGGATGTCGTTGTTGGGCTGAGATCTGGGTATGGGACGGCTGTTGTGCGGCCTGGGACGAGGACGTGCTCGCCGCAGGGGCTCGGGGTGAGTTGTTGGATCATAGGAGAGCTCCATTTCCGGTCCTGGTCTGGGACGGGTTGTTGGAGGGTGGACGGTTGCCCATAGATGGGTTGTGTCATGGGCCATTCATGGTGGACTGTCGGCGTCTCTCTTGTCGGTAATGATGGCAGTGGTCTTTGGATGGTCGCTGCTTTGCGCTTCGCGTCCTTTTGTGGGTTTGACTCTTCTCCAGAGGCCTCAGCCAGACTCTTCTTTCGCGATTGACGGGATGGCTTGGTCACTCGCCATTTCTTCAGTCTGCTTCGTAGTTGGGTTTCACTAGAGGTTGTTAGTTGATCCTCCATAGATTCCGGTATCGGAATGGAATCAAGATGGGTGGACTCACCTGGGATTGAAATCATCGGTACGTATCTGCTTAATGACCTGCTTCAAGGGCCATTCCTCTTCCATATACAACTTGGAGATCAACGCCTTCTTCTTCTCCCATACATCGGACGGGATGGAAGTCTTCATTATCAACGCACAGTCCAATTGAGAAGTGGAAAGGAGGGGGGGGGAAAGGGATGATCAAGACGATCAACATAAAATAAAAAAAGAGAGACAGGAAACGGGCGAGACAATTATATGTAGAAGATAGAGAAATAAAAATATAATAAAGGTGATAGTAAGAGTGATTTGTTAGGGCCAAACTAACTCGACTTCACTTCCCACTTCACTTCCCACTTCTCCTCCAGATCTCCATTGTCATAGAACACAATCTCTCAAGGATTGGGTCTTAGCGTCCGTGGCGTTCAGCACGCGGCGATCATGAACGAGATTCGCTGGGAAAACCTCATTGGGTCTCGACGATCATCCAGGCGATGTCATTACTCCAAGTGGATCACATCATCCAAGCGGAACAGCTCTAGGGCTCACTATCCCCAGTTGAGTGCTTGGCGCGTTTGAACAAAGCGGATATTCGGGATTCGATTGATCATCTACAGGCTTTTGGCGGTTTTTTTTTTTTTTTTAACATTCGACCTATCGAGATATCTGTGTAAAATGCCCTTGGAAAGGAGGGAGGAGAATGGAGGAGAATGGAGGGGGATAAAATCCCAAGACAACGGTTTGTATGGAGACACACGGCCTATAGTTCCCCGGTGATTTACTCTGCATGCCCCAGTTTTATCCCAATACCTCCGATAAGCCGAGGCCAGGGGAGAGACGGT